TAACCTCAGGTGTTTATCTTCAGTAATTGTTTGGCTGCAGAGCTCTAATGTAGGGGGTTTATCCTCAGTAACTGTGAGGCTTCAGGGCTCTAGTTTCAAGTAGTTATCTTCAGAAACTGTAAAGCAGCAGAGCTCTAACTTCAGGAGTTAATCCTCAGTAACAGTGAGGCTGCAGAGCTCTAACTTCAGAGGTTTATCTTCAGTAATTGTGAGGTTGCAGAGCTCTAACTCAGGAATTTATCTTCATTATGTTTTTGGCTACAGAGCTCTAACCTCAGGGGTTTATCTTCAGCAAATGTGAAGCTGCTGGGTTCTAACTTTGAGGTTTATCTTAAGTTTTAGGCTTCAGGGCTCTAACTTCAGGGGTTTATCTTCAATAACTGTGAGGGTACAGAGTTCTAACGTCAGGGGTTTTATCTTCAGTAACATTGAAGCTGCAAAGTTCTAACCTCAGGGGTTTATCCTCAGTAACAGTGAGGCTTCAGAGCTCTAACTTCAGGGGTTTGTCTTCAGTAACCGTGAGGCTGCAAAGCTCTAACCTCATGCGTTTATCTTCAGTAATTGTTTGACTGCAGAGCTCTAACCCCAGGGGGTTATTTTCATTAACTTTGAAACTGCAGAGCGGTAACTTCAGATGTTTATTTTCAGTAATTGTTTGACTGCAGAACTCGAACCTCGGGGGGTTTATCCTCACTAACTGTGAGGGTGCAGAGTTCTAACTTCAGGGGTTTATCCTCAGTATGAGGGATGAGTGATTCACTCTGATCTGTAAAAGAAGAAGGAGACAGGAAGTCATGGACATCTGAGGTGTTGGATCTGCTGAAGGAGTTTAAATGAAAACATGTTGTCTTACAGGAGGCGCCCCCTGCTGGTCAGCAGCCATAATGAGGTTAAACCACTGCTGCATTGGCCTAATTTTTCAGACGGGACACTCTGTTCTTTCTTCTGATCTGATCGAAACAAAGACAATTCTTTGGTTGTAATAAACTCCTCAGTGGGAGCTGTGTGGGAGGAGTCCAGAGCTGCTGGACGGTGAGCTCATCCAGAGGACGAAGGTCTTTTTCAAGTCTGTTTCTTAGTTGGACAAACTGTAGGATGGACAGGTTCTATTCACATCAGCCAGTCTGAGCCGGGCCTAGAAGGAGGTCCAGTTTAAATCACTCAGACTTCCTATAAAGGTCACCTGCTTCACAGGACGTTCATCAGTTTAAAGGGCAGTTCTGCTCTTTTCATGCAGTCTGACTCTGGTCCAAACTGGAATATTTCTACTTCTAAAGAAATCTCCAGGCTGTGACCCAAAGAGGTCCTCCTCTTGCTCCATCCCTCCGTCCTTCCATCCCTCCGTTCCTTTGTCCTTCCATCCCTCCATCACTTCCTTCTCTTTTTCCTTTGTCCTTAATCTGTCCTCGAATATATCTGAGTTAGATTTATCATCCTGCAGAGAGCATGCCCATGGCAATATCAACACACACACACACACACACACACACACACACACACACACA